CGTTCTTCGCTTTGCTCCGTAGGCCGCTCCAGTTCGAGGCCATCGGCCACCTTGGTCTTTCCCTTCAGGGCGGCGACATAGCACTTGCGGGACTCGAGCTGGTCGCCCCGCGCTACTCCCACACTGAAGTCTGTTGGGAACTTCATAGCCAAATGATAGGTGGAAGCCACCGCCCATAGGACATGGGTGATCGGTCGATCTATTATGGCATTGTATGGGGAGGGGGTCGCGACCACTAGGAAGTCGTGGTTGAATCTAGCTACGCAAGGCCATGTGCCGACTTCCACAGGTACTGTTATTTTCCCAAGGGGCCGTACTTCTTCTTTGCTGCCAAAGGAGTGTCTGTGGGCTTCAAGTTACTTCTCTGCAATTGAAGCTGGTCGAACGCAGCTTTGAAGAGGATGTCGGCCAAACTGCCCGAGTCAATGAGTATGCGCCTGACCTCGAAGTCGTGTATTCTCAGCTTTACCACGAGGGCATCATCGTGGGGATAGTGGACCCCTCGCGCATCGTATTATGTGAAAAAAATTGGCTCCTCTGTCCTCGGCCGCTTTGGAGGATTCTGTTCTTCCCGGGCGGCCTCACGAACTGATGTCCGAGCTACTGCTGAAGTACACCCCGCAATGATCGAACCTCCCACTATCATGTGGATGGTCCCTCGAACCGGCCTCTCCTCCGGAGGCTGCCTCTGCAGCTGTTCGGTTGGCCTGCTGCTGGACTCGGGAGCATCCCTACCGTGCTCCCCTTACCGACCTGTTTTATTGCTATTATTATTATTATTTTGCACAAAGTTTCTCRAATATCCGCGACGGATGAGCTCCTCAATCTCGTCGCGGAGATTTTTACAATTCTCGGTGCTATGACCGTGATCTCTGTGAAAACTACAGTACAGATTCTTATTTCTCTCATTGGGATTTCCCCTCAAACGGAATGACCACTTCACATATGGGGCGTCCTTGATCGCCACCAGGATTTCATCCCGCTTCACGTTCAGTGGGGTGTAATCAGTTCGGTCCACTACAGGAGCTCAAAATGACTGACTTGGCTTTGTCCCCCGAGCTGCATCCTTTTTCTTTCGGCTGTCCCCTTGACCGGAAGGCTCACCTTCCCTCTTCCTCTTTTCGGGCGCGCCCTCGCCTTTCTGGTTGATCTCCTCTTCGGTGGCTATGAACCTGTCTGCGAGCTTAAGAAACTCGGTTATGGTTGCTGGTTGGTTGACGACCATGTTCCATTTGAACTCTTTGTGTGTCACACCTTTCTTGGCTGCTGCAAGGTGCACGGTGGGGTTCAGGCGCGGTATCTGCATACAAGCATCGTTGAACTGCTTGATGTAGCCCCGGATGGACTCTCCCTCTCTCTAAACTATGCTAAGGAGGCTTTCTTCGGTCTGCGGATACCGCTTGCTAGTAACGAAGTGGGACGTGAAGGTTTGCGTGAACTGTGTCCAACTTCTTATTGATCCGGGCGCCAAGTTCTGGTACCATGTGCGGGCTGCTCCCCTGAAAGTGGTGGAGAAGGCCACGCCCATGCATGATTCACTGGCTCTTGCTAGGTGCATCTGCGACTGGAAAGCATCTATGTGATCACTCGGGTCGAACGACCCGTTGTACTTGTCAAGAGGGGGGGAGCTTGAAGTCTTTAGGCATCGGGACTGCCAGGAGCTTGAGAGATAAGGGGGATTGAACTGAAAGGAGGGGAGCTTTGACTTCGGCCGAGCTTACCTCTTCTTTGCCCCCGAGTTCGGGCAAATCGCGGGTGACAGATCGGCGAGCTCGGCGGTGGCGTCTCTGCTTCTTGGTGGGCTCGGCATTTGTGCTGCTCACCTCTGTGCTGTCAGGAATGGTTTGTGTAGGAAGTAGCTCGGGCCGCTGGTGGTGGCTGCGGACAGAGGGATCTTGCTTGGAGTCTGCAGCTAGGATCTCAAACCGGTTCTCATGGAGCGGGGTTTCAAACTTCGATTGCCGAGGTGATGTAGACTTGGCGAGCTGGGGTCCTCCCGACTTGACCGCCTGCGGCGAGACCGGGGTAGCCGGTCTTTCTTGTCTGCCGTGGGAGGAGGCCTGGCTTTTAGGAGGGTTTTGGGGGGCTTCTCCTTGGCAAGAGGGGCATTCGTCCTGGCGGCAAGACCTAGCTCGCTGTGAGGCTGGGTGCCGAGGCGGGAGCTGCGGCTGCTGAAGCTGAGGTTGAGGCAGCTGGGGGAACTGCTGCTGGTAGTGGTACTGGGAGATGTGGTGTAACACTTGCTGCTGATAGAGCTGGTGTTGCTGGAGCTGCTGCACTTGGGCTTGCATGGCCCGCATGCATTGCATCAGGTCGTCGAGCTGGATCTAGCTAGTCACCAGAGGAATGACAGTCGATTCAGCAAAGGTCGTTTCTACAGAGGAAGGAAGGGGAACACCCACAGGCGCCGTTGCTCGCGGCACGTTCAGGCTGGGGACTCCATCCACCGAGAGATGAATGGTGAACTGCCCTATGTAGACTGTGGGAACCTGGGGTTGTTCCCTGGAGTTATCCATCTCCATGCTTCGTCCAACGTTGCTTGAGGAAGCCATGAGTGTTGAGTTTTTTCAAGGAAAAAAAGAACTGTGAAGGTTTGGAGAAAGGCCTTTTGAAGCGTTTCCCATAGACGACGCCAAATGATAGTGCACAATCCGGTCACTCCTAGCTGGCACTCGCATGGCTCCTGAGAGGTACCTGAGATGAGGAAGGAGAAGAATCCCCGGGGGGTTCGCCCGGCGGGAACGCTCCGACGATTAAGTCAGTATTCTGAGTAAGAAGCAAAGAGAAGATAAAAGCTAAGAGTGAGGTAGCACAAGAGATTTCAAGATACCCCCGCCTTTTGAGAATAGGCTCCTTATAACAGAATTCCGTTGCACCGGGCCTACTGGCCTTTGACAGGGCAGGTACAACCGCCACTGTCAGCCTGCCACAGCCGTTACAGGCAGGGCTGAGGTGGCACGCGCGGGGTTGTTCCTGTTGGGTCTGTGCCTGTCAGGTGTACGATACCCTCTAAAGGTGGCAGGCACGACCCTCTCTGGCAAGGGACATGGCGGCTGCCCCTGATTTGTTGGGTACGGTGGTTGGGCAGGAGATCTTCCTGCGGTACGTCGTACTACCCCTTTGCGGGTTACCTTGTGTCGGGCTATCCCATAAGCAGCGAGTTGCCTGTGGCAAGCTATGCCGAGCTGTCTGGCCCGAAGTGTTTTCACCCTGGGGCATCTAGAGATGGGTCGGTGTGTTCCCGTCTGGGGGTGGCCCGAGGTCCATCGGGAGGAGCTCGGGCATCAAGAAAGGTCACGGTACCCCGAACTCGGGGCACTCCGAAGTGCCTTAACCCCGGGGAGGAGGTGCAGGTAAGGCGGCTCCCGACAAGTAGTTTATCCGCCTAGTTGCCGAGCTAAACTCGGTGGGACCTTCCCTCCGAGTTGTGGTTGCATCCGTTGCACTGTCACGCTGAGTCACTGTTTGAGCAAGGTCACGCCCACTTGTACTCGTGCTGCGAGGTCGGGCCAAATCACCCTCCATCAACTTATGTAATAACACAAGTTCTAAACAAAAAATAAACACCATTTTCTGAAAAAATCATGCTTATTACTCCATATGCCCAATACTGTTTTTTATGAGAAAAACAATGCGATATTGCCAATACGATGCCTAACACCTACTCAAAAACTGAATTGAATTTCGTGAATAATCAAATATGGAGAAACATGACCTCTCTTGGATTGGAGTGTATAAATTGGATGTTGGAACAGCACCCCCCCTTCAGCTACAATGTTGCCATGTTCGATGCTGCATGGCCCGCGTCGGAGACTTTGACATTGGAGCTTGGACCGAGACAGAGAGTGTGTGTGTTAAAACTGAACTATATGAAAGAAAAGACGTTGAGACTTGAGACCTTGGAGTTTTTAGATAACGAAGGTTGGATCATTTTGAGTCAGAGGGAGGGAGCCTCTCTATTCTAATTTGACCCTGCCTGGAATCTTTTTCCCATAATATTAACACGTTAGGTTGATGTCAGTTTCTTTCATTAATTCTTCTCTCACTCTCGTTAATATATTTACATATTTTATGTATATAGAATGACGTCTGACAATGCGGTTATAATTAATATAGAAGCCACACCCATATTACAACTGCAATAATTAATTATTATCATTAATGATCTATTTATGAATATGAAGCCAAGTATAGGTAGATATTAAAAAATAAAAACACCTTTTCTCTCACTCTCTCACACATACGTACAATTATGTTGGTTTTTTACTTTTTACACTTTACAATCACCAGGATTGTTGGATGGGTAATCTCAATCAGACATGGAAAATATTTCATGAAAAATACATGGAAAATAATTCACGAAGGTAGTAGTATACTGTGGATAGGCGTGGACAGAGTTTTCGTGAGCAGGAGATTCGGAGTCGTAAATGTAAGACATTGATTTGGAAGTTGGAATAGGCGGTATCTGAGCTGGTGGACAGATTTTGAATGGTAGTTGTTGAATCATGAAAGAGGGTGGGGGCGAGGGGCAGGGCAGTACTCATGGTCATGGGCTGATGGGCACTTCCGAGTTCCGATCGACATTCCCAACCCATTGCCGTTGCCCACCCTTCGACTCCCTGACCTGATCTGACCTTTTCTCCACCGCGGCTTTCCTTCAGCTCTACTAGAACAACTACACACCTCATGCCAATTGATGAATTCAGTCAGCATCGTATTCACTCCTGAAAGCCAAAAGGCCAGATGATTAATTTTCTGTGTCTCTGCAGTGTCCCTTTATTTTATTATTATATTTCGTTCATGTATAATATAAAATAAAATATTACAAGTCAAAGGAACTTGGCGTACGATACCTATCAGTGACGCGAGCTTGCAGTAAGAAGAAAGAAGGGAAAGACATGATTTTGTATTTTTGTACAAACAAACTACGAACGACGAAACAGTCGGACAGTTGATAAAACTAACAAAACACGAAACATGTGGATGTGGCATGATTTAAGTGTTTGAAGATGTTAAAAGCTCATGGACTCCTCCATCTCACATGGGTTATGGATCCTGGTTCCTGGATCATCATTGACAAGCTTGTTAGACTAGCAAGCTGGAGTTGACCTCTTGTTACTCGTCCTTTCATCCATAGATATACTATATAACGTTATAAACCACATATCATGCATATATATGCATCCTAGAGACCTGCATAGATTTGGCTCTCTACTCCCATTTCAGGTTTGAACAAGTTCGCCTCATCACTATCCTTTGTCATTATAATATTTGTTTCTATAAGCATTAATCTCGTTGTTGTTCTCACTCAAAGGCTTAAAGGTCAACAAATTGTTTGAGAAGGAAACGAGATTGAATCTGGAGGTTGCAACTTGGAAGAATACATAATGAGGCAACCGTTTCTTGCTCAATCTTCTCGACAGTCTGTTAGTCCTTCTCTTCTCCTATGTTTGTACGTTGGGCACTTCTTTGCAAGATGGGGAGCAAGGTACGTTTCTACCCATCTCTCCCTTCCTCAAGATTTATTTCAATCTTCTCTTCCTTTACAAATTTGATTTCTCTGCTGCATCTTAGCTTCCTTTTTTTTCCTTCCCTCCCCTCCTCCCCCTCCTTTTCTGTAATGGTTTCTTTTTAATCTTAATCCCTTTCTTTATGAACCCGTGTTGCTTGAACTATGGCTCTGGCTCTGTTTTTTATGCCTAAACACATCATACTGCTGAAAAAAATTCTCTTTTTTTTTATTTTATTTTCATCTACCAATTCTTTTGACCATGGACTGTCATCCTGATTGCGCTAAAATTGATAATGAGAAGTTCCTGATCCTAACTATGCATATACATCAATTGAGAAAAGAAGAAAACTATAGATAAGATTTAAGCCGTTGAATGGGAATAATAAATGGCAACGTATTGACATATGGTTTGGCTTTGACACGATTCCTCCTTCTCTTGCTTGCAGAATGTGGGAATTCTCTGTTGGGTTATACATGATCGACATTTGGCCAGATTCTTTACTCTTTGCTGCTATTTATGGCGTCGTGGAATCTGCCTCCACTGCACTATTTGGTCCCATCATTGGACGATGGGTGGATAGATTGACATACGTGCAGGTTGTCTAGCCTTCTGAATTGATATTGAATCGAATGCATGATGTTTGTGTGCCCCTTCTATTTATCAATCTAGACTTCTCGATTGACCATCCTATTTCGCTAAATTCTATCAATAGATTGTTTTAACCACTCGTTCAGGAGAAAGAAGTTGGAAGATTAGTGTTGGTGCTTTAACTGTCTAGTGACTAACAGAGTCCATCGTTGACAGTTGATAATGTAAGTATTGCCATGAATATATGTATAAAGACCACTCTCTTGGTAACTGGCTGTTCAATATGTAGCTTACTTACCCAGTGCTTCATTAATTCGTGGGTGGTCATACCCGTTGTGGAGCATGAAGGGGTATAGTGTCTTGTCTTGTGATCCCCTGTACAGAATTATAATGGTTTATATATGCCAATTTCATCAAGACATTTTAAATACTGTTTCATTTTATCTGGTAGGTTCTCCGACTCTGGTTGTTGACCCAGAATCTCTCTTTCATTATTGCTGGTGGAGCGGTAGTAGCTTTACTGGTCTACTCAAGCTTGAAATCAACATCTTTTGTGGCATTCATTTCACTTGTTGTTTTAACTAATATTTCTGGAGCAGTTGGTGTGCTATCAACTCTGGCTGGAACCATCTTGATTGAAAGAGAATGGTAAAAGATTGATGATTTTAGATTTTCAAACCTAAATAAATCAGTGTAGATATCTTATTCTTCCACAGGGGAATTCAAGACCAGTCTTGAAACATAGATTGTTGTTGAATTTTTGTTCCTGATTAGTAAAAGCAAATGTAGTGTCCCAAAGTTATGTTGCCAATATTAAAGAAAGAAAGACCTCTATTATTTTTTCCAAAAATGAAATTATGTTGAATTTACAGGGTGGTGGTGATTTCTGAAGGACAGCCTCCCGAAGTACTGACAAAAATGAATGCAGTTATCCGACGGATTGATCTAGTCTGCAAACTATTTGCCCCTGTCTGTACTGGGTTCATTATCAGCTTTATATCACTTAAAGCATCAGCAATGACTTTAGCACTTTGGAACACTATATCTGTTTGGTTGCAGTATTGGCTTCTAATGTCTGTATATAATGGAATTCCATCTCTAAGTGAAAGAGGCCAAAGGAGGATCACAAGGCTTGTACCAAATGATCAATTAGAAGAAACATCTATTTCTCAGGATACAGAGGTCTTGCTTTCTAATGTGGAAAGTCATTCAGGAGTAGGAGAACAAGGAAGGACTAGTAACCTTATTAATCGCATCTTGAGTATCCCATGCATTGAAGCATGGATTGTGTACTTGCAGCAAGATGTTGTGCTCCCAGGAGTTGCTCTAGCTTTACTATATTTTACCGTACTGAGGTGATTCCTGCTTGATATCATCATTCTGTTTTTCCCTTCTGTTCAAGTTAAAATCTAGAAAAAAAAAATTGATGATAGATTGGATGGTTAGGGTGGGATGATCAGATAAGGTCTTGATAATACAATGTAATTTTCTGATTTCACTTTGAGTTCTTGACAATTTCAAGTCTTATATTGGACTCTTGCTGCAGCTTTGGAACATTAATGACAGCTGCTTTGGAATGGATGGGTATACCTGCTTATGTTATTGGCATTGCACGAGGAGGAAGTGCCACAATTGGAATAGCGGCAACAGTTCTGTACCCAATCATACAATCACATATTTCAACTCTTCGAACAGGATTATGGTCTATCTGGACTCAGGTATCCAATTCAATTAAAATATACACTATAGACAGTTCACCAGAGATGTTGGTTGCTCTAGTATAACCCATGTCCTTTATATCTTTTAACCTAATTCAACTCAACAAAGCCTTGTCCAACTATGTGGGGCCAGATATCCATGTCTATAAGGGTTTGAAAAAGGTTTTAATGTGAGCTCCAAAACTGTTATAACCCTCCTTTAAATGGGCTTGGGACCAACAGTGTAAAACAAGATCAACACCGCCAGAGCTCCTTGTGAGAATCTTGAACTACTTAGATAGCAATAAGTCAGGAAGAGTTGGTTTTGGTGAGAAGAAATATGGACCATGCTCCTCAATATGATGTATATGGATGGTTCATAGCTAGAGGTTTCCTAGGATGGATCTTGTTCCAACCACCTAACATGGAGTTGGATGTCGGTATATAGAAACAACATGGTGGGACCTAGATATCTTTATTCATGTCCTCTTGAGAATATTTTATTTATGTTTTTATAATGAAGTTTTGTTTTGGTTTACTTGTTTTCCTTTTGCCATTGAAAGTGCTATATAAATGACAGGGTGCAAATTCTTTCAGACTAACATGATTCACACTAAGCTTCTGTCATTGTTTTTCACCAGTTGTTTGATAACTAATAATTTTCTTGCATATCCATTTCTATAAGTGATGGAATTTCAATGTTTTTTTTTTTCTCCAAAAGTAATGACATGTTTACCAGACACAAAATCAGACAATTTTTTTGTGCCTAGGTAAATTCAATCTTATTTCTCTATGTTTCCTAAATACTTCCTAGATATCAATGTTTTGAACAATATTGATTTTTTTCTGCAGGGTATTGAATTTGTTGCTCCTAGACATTCCATTATTTCTCTAGGGCGGGTGAAAGAATATAAAATTTAAACAAAATATTTGTTCTGATTTGGCTTCATTCTGATACATCCATTTCAAATTTATTATACATGTTGAAAGTGATAATTAAGGAAATCTAGTCGTACTATAGGACATTAGTAGAGCTTGTTTTTCAAGTTAGCCAAGAGTAGAACAGAAATGTAAAATTCAACAGTTTAAATCCTTTTAGAATTTTGTTTTTCTCACTCTAGACCATGCTATGTTATCTTTCTTATAGAAATTTATTGATTAATACTTGCTGGCTTGTTGCAGTGGATCTTTCTGCTTGTATGTGTTGCTTCAGTATGGGTTCAAAATGGACAAATCTCAGCCTGGATGCTGATGGGTGGGGTAGCAGCATCTCGTCTTGGATTGTGGATGTTTGACTTATCTGTTATCCAACAAATGCAGGTAAATAAACTGTCATTGGACTTTTTACTATCATTTGGTGGTTCCTTTTCTTGTGATGGACAAGAAAAAAATGTCTGGCAGTTCGCTATATTATAGTGAAGAGTTTGATCTTCTAAATCTCAGTGCATTCATTTCTGATGCATCTTCTACATTTATGTAATTCAGTTTCAACTTTATTGGTTGAAAAGTTCCACGTTTCATTCTTTAGTCTTTTTCTTTCTTCTAATCTTTTAGGTGATTTTGACCAGGATCATGTTCCTGAATCTGATCGTTGTGTTGTGGGAGGTGTCCAGAACTCACTTCAGTCTATGTTGGATTTATTAACTTATATAATGGGAATAATCATCTCAAATCCGCAGGTACTTTATCCTCATACATAGTTCTTCTCACATAGTGCAGTAGTATGAAATGATTTAAGCACATAGTGCAGTAGTAAGAAATTAAAGTATGTTTCCGTACATCATAATTCTGTACAAAAAGGCATGATCTGCTGCAAGTTGAAGGGGTAGAAGAGCTAGGGGCAGATTGAAAAGGAATTGGGTTGAATTAGTAAGAAATGATTTAAGAACCCATAATTTAATGATGGATATGGCACTGAACAGAATGGAATGGCAAAACATAATTCATGAAGCCAACCTCATATAGTTGGGGCAAGGCTTTGATGGTGATGATTCATATCAACCAAACTACTGAATTTTCTAGATTTGTAATTAGGTAAGTCATATCTCACTGCAACTGCAATGCCAGTTAAAATGGGTTTAGAACAAATACATAAGATGAGATGGGCCAAGTCATGAGGAACCCTGTTGTTGAGCTGCCTATTTAACTATTTATGATTTCTATCCAATGATTTAGATGTCACTGCAATTGAAAGGATAGTTAAACATTTATGTTAAATAAAACAAAAAAGTTATTAGGTCTAAAAGAATTCTGGCTTCTTGATTCAAAAGAAGGTATGCAATGAATTGAGCTAGCTTTTTTTTTTTTTTTTTTATTGGTAATAAGTTGAGCTAACTTGATTCAATTCCTTCTTCATAAACTCAGCTTGATTGAGTGAAGCTTGATCTCAAATTTCCAGACTTGTGAGCCTGGCCCGAGCCTTAATTGAGGTTTCTTGGCTAAATGAGCATAATTAAACTAAGTTTAGAGGGTTCAACACAGTTTAGATTAAAGCTGGTTCAGGTACTATAATATATATTGATATAACAGATAAGGAATATAATGTTATAGTTTACTTTCAGCTTTTTGTTTCTTTTTATTGGATAATTGTAGGCGTTTTAATTGTGGAACCTATATAGGTTCATGATTTTGAGCTTACATGGGCTTATGGGAAATGGTTAAACACTAAAATGTGCCAAACCAAACTGAGCATGAGTTCACTACCCCTAGGATTTTTGTGATCTCGAGACAAAGTTGAGATCAGCTTGTAGTTTGTCAACCTGATCTGAGTGTAGACATGCTCAGCACAGCTTGGCTTGTTTGAATTCCTGCCAAAGAGAGAAAACCTGAATTTCGGTATAAACTCAAGCTGTGGGATTTCCAGAAATTGCTAGGTCTGTCCCTATTCATTAACTATAGTCTTTGCAGTTTGCATAAAGGTTCCTTCTGGATAAAGAGACAAATTACTCTTACAAGAGAATCATCATCATCATCATCTAAGCGTTTTCCCAACTTGTGGGGTTGGCAACATGAAGCCTGTCCTGCCATTCTGTTAAATTATGAGCCGTTAAACCATTCTTACTACTTCAATCAATATCCTTTTTGGTCTGCCCCTAGCACTTATAGCCCTTCCAACTTCAATCCCAATAATACAAGGACTAACTCGTATAACAAACCCAAAACAAGAAAAAAAAGGAGAAAACTTTAAGTTTACCACAGTTCTCCTATGGTAAAGTACTTGGGAGAAAATCTATTTAGGCTAACATTGGGATTTGTCTGCACTCTGCACTACCAAGTGTAATTTCATATCCATATAGATATCAACAAGATTGACATAATTTAGCATCTTTTCCTTATTATTGAGGGATGGTCATTTAAGCCTGCTTTTGGCTCTTCATTTGTCCAGTACTGTCTTAAAACCATTTCTCACTGCGTGTCCTATATCCTTCTCTATGTGGTCTTCAACCTGCATTACTCCTTATTGGTGCTGACTAAACTATCTTGAGAGCATATACTTGTTGTGTTAATGAAAATATATAGGGGCATTTGTTTTTAGTAACTTGATTAAGAAGTAATAACAAATTAGTCCACTATCTTTCTTCAGGACCCATTACCATGTTAGTGTTATATATTGACTTAATGCTATTATTGGCTATTAAATAGAGAAGGTCCAGGCATTGGGCTTCTCCATGAAAGAAGCCAAGACCAGTTTCTTGTACAGAAAACTCATTTCGCACTCTTGAATTTGGAGACCGGGGGGGGTATTATAGCACGATATGGTACCATATCTAATTGTAACATTCAGGTGGTTCGTATGAACTAAAAGCAAGGGCTTGGCATCTGTACAGCAATTAAAGCAACTGGAATTTGGAAAGAATTGTTCTGTACTGTATGAAATCTAAGGTCATTGTCCAGATGGGGAAAGTTTCCCTCAGGATTTTGGCTTCTATTCCCGAAATTAATAGACTGGAGTTTTTCTTGATCTCAAATTTTCCTATCATTGCCTGATACTAAGGTTCCAATGTGATGGTTTTAACCCGAGGGACAACCCTGGCTGCATTTTGTTGGCCAACTTATACAGGATCCTTCCACAATGTTGAGGTTCATTAGTTGTTTACCTGTTTTTGATAGAGTAGATAGATGGAGATATTAGTCCTTACTGTTGTTTCATTATGGTGAGCTGTTGCTACCATGTTTTCTTAAATTACCTGAAAACAAACAGGAATCTCTGTGTAAGGATATTAGAGGGGAAGAAAACAGAGAAAGAATTCTCCTTACCATAGAAAAGCTAGGATATAAATGTCCTTGTTTTCTTTCAACATTTATATCATCTAGGGTGAGAGGACATGTTGTGGACGACAGCTTCATTTCTTCCACTTGCAAAAAATACTATAAACATACTAACTTGTTCTCTAATACTGATATTCTTCAGGACTTCGGGAAGTTGATAATTTTGTCATTTTCATCAGTAACACTGGCTGCAGCACTCTACACGCTACATGCTTACCGCGTCCGAAAGCACCTTTTTCACTTCGAGAAACTGATTGTGTCAATCCATTGGTTGTTAAGGGCATCATGATCAATACAAGAAGGACGTGGTAGAATATCCATTTTCATTGGGTTCAAGTAAAAAAGAAGAAAAACAGAGCAACAGGAATTTGTATTTCTGAGCTGAGAATGGTACTAGAAAAGGTGAATGATCTGAGGCTGTTATTCCGCAGGCTGTAAATATTATCCTGTAACAACGACCGTGCATGCAATACTGGATGGACAGTAATAAGTAATTTAGACTTCAGAGGAGCCAAATGTTAAAGAGAGTTATGATCAAATTTGACTGCAAAACTTTATAACCAATAGGCCACAAATTGACCTCGTAAGCTAAAGTTGCAGACTTGCAGCCTTTAATGGGCTGTTTGATAAAGGCTGAAGTGGCTGAGCTGAATGACTTATATAATGCCTTTTCTTTTAGTAGATAAGCCTTTCAGCCGTTATCAAATGGCCGGCCCCTTGGTCATAAACCTAATTCTGGGCTTCTGGCCCGCTAAACAGGGTTAAACCCAGAATACAAAATGAAGTGGTTTTACACTGATTGCTTACAGGTTCAGTATTTCTTCTTCGAAGGGCTTGGGGGTCAAAGAGCAAGACCCCATTACTATTGTAAAACATAACAGCAATATGAAGGCTGAGTGTGAGTCTGCCTGTCATACCTTAGAAAATTATTATACCAAGCTGATCATGTATGAGGGCTTGCTGTGGCCTGTGGGCAGTCCTTGATATCAACGCTTGGTACAGCACAGCCTTTCGGCTGCCATCTGCAGCCTGGGCTCGTTTGCACTTGAAGCGGTGGTGGTGAGTCACCATTAAAACTTGGCGACATGTTTCTTCGGTAAGCTTGCACTAACATCTGCATTCTAATCAGGCTTGTGAATCGATGCATCGATCAGATTATAGACTTTTGTCTGGTACCCGAATCATGTTCAAATGATGGGTACGATCGGGCTCTACCCACAACATACATGTGTCTGTGTCTGCGGTCTCCAGAATATATTCGCCATTTGTAAGATGAGAGGGATGACAGATGCTGACAAGCCGATTAGCCTAGAGAGAATTTAACGTATTTTGGGTCCAATGGTTGCCAATTAATGAGCACTTGGGACTGCAAAAATGATAATAAAGGGGAGGGGGGGATGTGAATTGACAACTTGTGAGCATGATATGTTGTTGATTCTTGATGTGCAAGGAAACAAGGAGCTCCGTTTCTTCCCTAAAGGTAAAGGCTAAAGGCTAAAGCAACTCCTTGTGCGCACGACACACACCGTCTATTCAAGTTGAGGCTCAGATTTAAAGTAAGTGAGAGACGAGGTTCCAACTGTTGCCTTATGCCCTTGTCTTCAGGCTTTCCAATTTCCAATTCGACGAAGAGAGAGCATCAAGACGATAAAAAAAAAAAAAACAAAAAAGTGCTTTTCATCTTTTCATCCGCAATAAATTTACACACCCTTTTTGCTTGGGTCCTTGGCTCAACTCAAAAGCCCTTTTGACCTCGTTCCCTTGGGAAATAAATTTGTTAAGGATTTTATGATTTTATCCCACACAAGAACAATCGTTTTGTCTCAGAAGTCCCAATTCCTCTGTCCATTGCTATACCCAGATCATTAAGGTCAAACAATGGTTGTGCCACACCACACCATGCGCGTCCCAATCAGGCTAGGGTGTAATAAATTTAACAAAATTCAATCAATTGACCAAGCTTAATTGCCTCGCCAATGCCGTACCACATCGTCATCCTTCTCTTATAAGGTAGTTGTTGGACCTGTACTTGGTTTCTGATGATGACATAATCCTCCAACTGCAAATAGAAAGTGGAACCATGTTTATTTATTGGCTGAACACTGACCCGGCCCTATTTTAAATCATCATTCTCATTATAAAAAATTGTGATGTGGGAGGTTGGACAATCACAACATTGTATTTCTTTTCATTGGTTGGGTAGCCATATTGTTGGACAGAATTGAACAAATTTGAGTGGTCATATAGACTTGACTAGAAAATCTTTCTCCAATTCAATGAATCCAGGCTGCAGCTTGGTTTTAAGCCAAGCCACTTATTAACTTAATTTTTTATTTTCTACTTTTTACTTTTCTAGAAAAGAAGCAGAATAATCGGTGCTTCCTCCCTTCACTTTATGAAAAGTAAATAAAGTGTGTTGTCCATCATCAACAAAGGAAAGAATCTGGAGTTTCAAAGTTGAAACTTGAAACCATCCGTGTCACTATTATATATGAACTGGGCAAGCGTGGCCAAGCACCAATCTTACTCGAGTCTTGGCACTCTGGCATTACATCCAGATCCAATCTCTCTCTCTCTCTCTCTCTCTCTCAAGTGAAATTCTTATCAAATTGCAGAGATCATCCAACACAATAATCTTGAATCCTTGATGGCTACTGTAAGTAACTCCTCTTCTTCATCTTTGTTCCTTTTACTTTTTTTTTATTTACAAATGGAGTTGGGAATGAAGAGCATATTGTATTGCATTACATACTAGGTGGTGGAATTGAAGGTAGGCATGCATTGTGATGAATGCATCAAGAAGATCAAGAAAGCCATCAAGAAAATCGAGGGTATAGTATAAATTTTTTTTTTTATATATATCTAACTTTCTTCTAGTAATTGTCACAATCAGGGCTAGCCTATCTAACATCTGAAGAAATTGCAGAATATGTTGATTAAATTGTTCAATAAGTTAATCCCTTTCTTTTTCTTTTTGATTTGGTTTTTGTTGATAATAGATATTGAGTCGTATAACCTTGATACAAGGCTCAACAAGATCACTGTGACGGGTAACGTTACAACAGAGGAGGTAATCAGAGTGCTTCAGAAGATTGGGAAGACGGCGACTTCATGGGATCAAGAATAAAAATTTAGAGCCCTACCCTCTTGGAAGGACTATGTGGAGGATGGTGGTTTTAAATTTATTGGAGGAGGATTGCTCTAGATAGATTTTATTATTAATTAGAAGAAAGAAGTCAAACTAGATGTTCTTAATAATTCAACAATAGCACTATATCCATATAGCGGTCATAAGTTTGTATCCACAGACATGTATTTGTGTTTATAAATAAATAAGATAATATTAGTAGAGATTTTTGGAGGTGCAGGTGGGGTGGGTTGGACATGGACTGAAGATATTTACGAATTTTCAAACCAGTTGCTTATGGATTAGTCGCTTTTATTATTATTATTATTATTATTAATTTTAATGGGTGTTATTGTTATACAAATATCCAGGGGGAACTGAACCAAAACTTGGCAGGGTCAGCAGGTTAAGCCCCGCCTCAAATTGCACCGCCCCTTGAACAGGATTCTTGCCTGATGTGTACGTTTTGCCGTTTTGGGGCGGGCTTACAAGTTACAACAGAAACTATACTGTTTTAAAAATTGCTTTGGTCAACCGTTTACAGGGATAACTAAAATATTGCAATGGAAATCGTTTTCCTCCATTTATCGTCTATTGTATCCTTCCGCTCAGTGTTTTTGAACCGCCTTTAACTTGAACGGTCAGACTGTTGGGCCCAAAAGCCTTTTAAGAAAATTGATTCTGTTTCACTCTTAACTTGGCCGTTAACTAAAAACTATTGATTTGATCAAGCAAGGCCAAAAACTAATGGTCAAAACGATTCCGATTTATCCAACATACAATGAGGTTGCCACTAGATCAACCAACGCCACTAGCGGCTTGCTTGCGATTGCGCCTTTATCGCTGCCGTGCATGACTACGCATGATCAGGAGGAGCACTTTGTAGCGCGGCGACAAACTGACAAAGGGTGGGGGGGCATGCCGATGCCGCCATCGGCCATCCAGGTCCAACGTCCAAGTGCGCTCTTTTTTTCTTTTTGTATTAATAACGATTTTTTAGGTAAAACTGGTGAGATTCTAACTTCTCTAACTAAGGTAGTGTGATTCGATATGAATTTGCCACCGCATACGCACTATGTCCGTATGTCCCCTTCCCCTGCATATCTTATCTATATGACTATATGTCTACGCTCCAGACAAAAGCCGTTATTAAATGCAGCCAGTTATCACCAACAATACCACACCCCACTGTCCACCAAACACGTTGGATTTTCCACACATCACTTCTTTTCCAATTATTTCTTTTTCATTGAAAAGAGACAGCAGGCGTCCATGTGGGGGTTGTTGATAATTGATATCGCAAATCAAAGCACTTTTTAGTTTTTCCCCCTTAAATAGCCCTACTGTCACGGGAGTAGTTCTACAGCCGAAGAAATCTGTGCGGCGTCCTGGCCAAGGCAGGCCAAGACAAGCCTTTCTGCGCTTAGAGGCTAGGAGTTGCCCGATGGGATGGCTCCACCAACGTCAGTAGCACTGGATCATGACCTCAAGTCCAAT